TTATCAGGTAAAAGTTTTGACTTATTTTATCGTCATAATAACTACCGCGCATCAAAGTTTGCGCAGACCGGAAGTTGGATTTTCCTACCCGGAAATGAAATTTGGTGAGTTAAAAATCATTATTCTGTAAGTTTTCCTACTCTTTTGCTCTGATCACACATGTTTGTCATGTGTCCAAAGTCGCATGTGCGCTTATGGGGGAGTGTGCGCCAATAGGCGGTAATTCACTTAAAGGCATGCAAAAAGGATACTGATACCAGATTTACAGAATGGGGTTGCTTTAAGATTTGGGTAGAATTACAGTGAAACCTGTGAGAGTGGAACACCTTCACACCGGAATAGCCTGACAACAGTAAAGCCAGATACTGTTGTCACAAATTGCGGACATAACCGTCACTTCAACTCTTTAACCACTTGGTCCTCATTTCATGGGATTTTGTGCATGTATTAAGCTCTTGTGATGATGTATCATATGAAATCCCAATTTCGATTCAATATAGTGTCTTCGATATCGTCAATGACAACGGAATCTGAATTTGAAATAATTTACAAAGACAACGGCATATGGTAATACAGTGTCCGTTGTTTATTTCGATGGTAGAACATTAATAACTGTACAATGAGTATAAAGACACTTTGATTGATTGTTGTTCCAAAGGAATTTAGTCTAGGTGCTCTATTAAACATACAGTTCATGAAAATCTAATTGAAGCGACAGTTATGTCTGCCATTTGTGACAACGGTATCTGACTTTACCGTTGTCAGGCTATTCCGGTGTGACCTTTAGAACTTCAAAATAGTGTTCAACTTAGAGTGTGTACTAAGAGAGGTTCATTTTAAATTTTAGTTAATGAGAAATCGGACTTTTGGATAAAACAAATTGCATAGAAATCTACATGCACATTACGAGAGAGGCCAAGTTCCTTCTTGAGGCAAATAAGGAAGAAAAGTTTCTGTAAGATCCTGAGTGAGTAAGGCATTACCCAGTCTGAGATAGAAGTTCTAACTTTTACAGAAGGCCTTGTAATAGAATGTAATCCTTTGCATAACTAAGATATATCATATACTGTATATGATATCTATTTAGAAATCAAAATAAATATTCTAAAAAAAACCAGATTATTTACAGCTGCTTTAAGGTCAGATTTATCCAGATGTTAATCTCTACATCTGTAGATCATCAAACTTATATGTTTCTCTATTTAGTTACCCTTACAAAATATTTCATTGTGGGCACAAAATCTATGAAAGTAACTCTTGGTGTTACTGTAGTAACCCTAACAAATTGATAACATACTTGATGCTAGATCAAATCATAATTTTACAAAATGCAAAGTTTAGAGGCACAAGTGACTTATTAATACAAGGAAAAACTTACTCTTAAACCTTGAATGGCTTTTCTGGCCTTCTCATTTTAATATATACCCTTTAAATTCACACCTATCATAATTTGCATTTGAAAAATTAACATCATTATTTTAGACATGAATCAGGTGCATTATGGGAAAAACAATAAAGTAGGATCCTATATTTGTGTCACTCTTTCAGAGTTCTTTTTCTTAGTTTCAACATTATTTTGGCATATGCTCATCCTGCAATACAGTCAGTATTCCTGATTGCTATGGTAACTGATTGAGCCTCTCAGATTGAGGAATCACCTTACTTTCTTTGATTTGAATGTCCGTCTGCTTATTTCTTGCCATTTCTCTTTTAGAGTTGAACATGGTATCTGATTTTTTAATTAATTTCTAGATGGTTTTGAGTATGGACTCCATTTGTGTTTAACCATTTCTAGTTTGCCATATTTTATTTCCCATTCTAATGTAACCATCAAGAGGTCTTTTGGCAGAGCTTTCTTAGATTAATGTTTTGGTTTTATTTTCACTATTTTGGTGCACCACTGAACCTGTATCAGCCCCCAGGGTACACATAGGTATATTTTTCTTGAGTTATTGGAAATATCATTATTTATGACCATGCCCAACCATCTTTCAATTCTGAATAAGTTCAAACAAAGTTAGATTTAGATTCTCTAAATTCATATATGCATCTTGCTATATACTGAATTAATACTTTTTAATGGAATTATTTTTTTACATTCCCCTTTATTTTCTCTGTTGTATTGAAATCATGATTGACATGGTTGATATCTGCAATCTTATGTTGGTTGAATGATCACTGATTCCTGTGGCGTCTCAGAAGGTCTTGGAATTCTGAGATTGCAGGAGTCACGATGGTCTCATTTTATTAGAAGGTAAAAACAAGTGGCATAATAATATGACATATAACACTGACTCTGAAACAAAGTAAAAGTGATTTAATGAAGCTTTTGTACCTTCTTAAAGGTTCATCACTTATTTTCAAAAAAGTTGTGGTTGAAAAGCAACCTCGGATGAACTGAATCTTGGCTTCATTGAATGCATTAGGATTACAAAGCTTAACTTCATGAGTATGCTAACTGAACTCCTGTTGTGTAAATGGATAAGTCATCACTTAGAGAAAATTGAGGCAATGCAAATGGTCGGAAACACTGTATTTCACTAACCTAAAATTACCTGTGAACTTGACAAATTGAATTGAAATATTTCTCCTAAACCTATGACATATGTAATATTTGAAGTGACACAGTGAGTCATATAATGCAAATCACTATTTCTTCCATATATTTCAAATATCTTGGCTTGCTCTGGAGTCCTACATTTAGAAGATGTTATTCTGTACAGTAGGACTCTACTTCCCTGCATAGCATTCCCAAATATAAAATTGAATAAGTCATCTGAATAAATCTAGTTTCAAGAAGTTTTATCTGTCCTTATCGTTAATTTACCTTAAAAAGTTCTCAACTTTTGGGACAACCTGTAAGCTAGATTAGTAAACTATATAAAAGGGAAGCAATATGAAATATATACCATTGGTTACCCAGAGAGTTATTACACATTTATTGGTGCTTACATTAATAAAAGTGATAATATAACTTAGAAAGTAGACTCAAAATTTACTGTAATTAACCCTATCTCATTCCAGGAAGTCCCATCCAGAAAGTATCTTGGCCATCTTAGATTTATTTCAAAACATATAAATTTGAAAAATCTGATATCATTTGAATATAAAACCATGTAGAATTATGATTCTCTGATTATGTTCGACTTATGCTTGCTTGTGAGGTGTTTATGTGATTCCAAATCCATCACTCATCACCTCAGGTACAGGAGGGGGGGGGGATAGTTCCAACATCACACGTAAGAGCCTTTAGGGTAAATCATCATGCTTGAGTTTGGCATTTCAATACAATAAAGAGAATAGGTTAGAAACCCCATTCATACTATTTTTTTCCTGATACCGTATCAATCCCCTATGTTGCCCAGTTTTCTATTTTACACTCAGGAAAGGTAGAGGGAGGGGGTAGGTAATAGTGGATAGGGGTGAGGGGGTGAGGCAGACTTGATGCATAACTATATTTTTCATTTTCAAGTGATAAGTGGAATGTTTTGGAGTTGGGTGTGAACTACTTAGCAGGGTATAATTTCCATGGTGAAAGGAGAAGAGTAGGAATCTTATATAGTGAGTCCAGATCTGAAGTGTATCTTTCGAATAAAATGTCCATCTGTTCATGCTTATTTCACTCAATATCTCTGTAAAATTTGAATAAAGTACATGATTTTCTGGCATTTATGTGCAATTTTGGATGTTAGCTAAATGACTGTTTAGTTTATTCCATGCTAATTCCACTCTTCTCTACTATATTTTGCATTTCAAAACGTGACCATAACATTTTCTATCGAGGGTACTCTTTCTTATCTTGGACTCCATTTGGAGTTCTCTAAGGAAGTATATTTGATAATGTCAGTTATTATCTTTGGAAAAAGAGAACATCTTTGAAATTAGATACAAAGGATGAATTAAAAATGAAATAGAAATGTATTTAATTGATATAATTGGAAAAATAATATAATACATAAGATCAAAAGAAAGGCGTGTAGTCCTTCTACTTGAATAAAGTGAAACCAGAGCTTGTGAAGATGTAGCAATAGATGGATCAAAGTAAATTGAAACAAATATGCAATTTCACTGTATATGTTAACCCTATTAGGGTTTATTTTTGATATTATAGTTAAAACTTTAAATTGTATCAAAATACCACAAATGAAGCAGTTGTCTCTAATACAAGAGCTGCTGGGTGTATGTACCTACTGCCTACTAATGGTTGTTTTGGTAGCTGATCTTAAAATATAATTCTGGTGGAATGTTGATCCTGGATTTCCCGGTTCTCTGATATTTTTAGACACATGATATCTGTTTTGAAATATTTTTGTGATCTTGTTTTGAAAAGCAGAAAAGAGTGTAATCAGCAAGAAATAAAGTAAACAGGTGTGTGGTCAATGGTCCAAAATATGTAGAAAAGGAGAAAAATGCTAGAAATAATCATAAGCCTACAGCAAGAGATACTTACAGTTACCCATGCATAAAATGTTGATCTCTAATCATGCTTATGGCTCATCAGCCCAATATTTTGTCAGCTCAAATATTTTGATGATATGCATATTGTAGATTTTATACATTGATTTTCACATTATCACTATATTTTCTTTCTCTTTTGTCTGAATGAAATGATACTCTGACATGAGTACTATCTAGTTCAAGGGTAGTGAGGACATATTCAGAGTTCATGGTTAATTTGATATTTGCGAGAAATGGGTTGATATATATCTCATGTTCAGTAATTGCTACTATTAATCTCACATCAGGAATATTACAGTAGGATGGGCAAGTTCAGTCTTGTGCAAGACATTGCATTTATATATATTTTCCTTATCATTTTTATAAGAGTATGTACTGTGATAAATCAGTTGTTTTGTTTCGGATATGGGGTTAATCTTTGTGGGAATTAACATATATGAAGTGTATATCTTTGGGATAAACCTTATATCCAAAACCTACCATTATATAACACCCATATATTGATATTACAAATATTGACATCTATGTTTCTATGTATTTTCAGGTGATGTTGTCCTTAAAGAATTGTTCATCAAAGAGAGTGCACTGGTAAGTTGATCCAAATTTATCTGAACGCCTCTCAATATTGAACTTTCTCTCAATCCAAATTTCCAGGAGGTTCACATTTGACAATTTTGGCCCAAATATGGCTAAAATCACTTGAGAAGTGCTCAAAATGGTGAAAAACTGCATGATTTTGAAAGAATTTTTGGCCGGGGGGGGACCCTGATATGTGTCATTAATGGGCATATCTGTATAAAGATGTGTTTTCCAAGGGTGCACCCCAGTTGTCCGAAACCCAGTTGTCCGAAACCCACTTGTCCGAAACCCATTACTCCGAAAAATATAGTCATAATTTACCAGAGAAAGGGGAGACGTACTAAGCTTAGGCCAGTTTCATGCCATGTATTTGGCCAAATTAATGGCATGGACGCATTCTGATGTTCATAGATCTCTCTCTCACTTTGAATTGCATCCATTGCACGCGTTACCAGAATGGCAGGAACGGGGGATTCATTTTACATTGTGATTCTAAAAAAAGGTTATCAAAACACAATATATATTACGGAACAGTTTATCTTATCTTCTTCAATTTCTCTTATATAGGCAAAATAAAATGAATCAATTTTAAACAGATAAAATAAGTTTACGCATATAGACTAGTACTTTAAGAATAAAACAGTATACATATTACGTTGTCAAAATATTTCGTCGTATTTAATTTCTTAGTCTCTGTATTTTATCAAATCGTAAAAGAACAAAACATTCTTAACTTAATCACTTGGGATCAACTGGAAACGAAGGCAGGCTGTCCTCGTATCAAAATGGATGTTCTCCCATTCGCAAGAAGTTTCATTTTCGCCATGTCCTCACTTCATCCTTTTAATTTAATCTCTATTTCTCGAACAGAGTACGTAAATGAAGAATAAGTTTTGGTTTCAAAAGATGTACATGTCAACTTTACTAAATAAAAGCCCACTGGCTTGGGAAAGCTATTTTTCCTTTTATGAACGCTCATTGGAAAATTGTTGTTCCCTCTCAAAAAAGGCCCATGGGCCATAAAGAAAATTGGTTTAAAAATTGTAGACCCCTATCTATATATGTTGTGTAAACGCCATTTTACAATGAGAATAACATAATTTAACTTTGTTTGTTTGAACATCTATATCACCTGTATATGAACTTTCGTAGGCTAAACATTAAACAATTAACGTCGTGACTTAGCATATTTAGCCTAATTTTGCAATGATGTCAACGTTATCCAAATGTTATGTTGTGATTCGCAGAGGTTGCGACAACGAGATTCGTTTAAAAAAATTGTATTTTTCAAATAAGATCCCCTAATTTTCGGAGAACTGGGTTTCGGACAACTGGGTTGACCCCGTTTTCCAATTGTCTATTCATTTGAGGAAATTCTCCCACATTGCATATGTACTAGGCAGAAACAGAAACTGCATACACTATTTGCAAGGGTTTACACCTGTATGTGGTATACAACTATCAGCTTCCATAGAACATCATATTTGTGTTATCACCTGTAAGGATTTCTTACCCACCTGGAATAGTAAAACAGTACAAGTGTTCTTTTATGTAATAACACATACCTCCGTCATATTTGCTTGTAAGCTAATTACTCCCAAGTGCTCCTGCAACTTCCAAGGTGGTAACATGAATTTGGAGCAACTGGAATTTGTGAAGCAAGATGTTCCAATGTATGGGGTATGACCACCGTAAGTTCTTGATAGTTGCCAAAAATACATCCCATCATTCTATTGCTCTCCTCATTGTTGAAATCTCCGAGGAACAGTACCTTCATGTATCTGCCAACAACAAATTCTTCATTCATTGAACGTGCCTCCTAAAATGTACCGATAGAAATAAATTAAAAAAGGTGGCATAAAAAGTCTAAAATGCTATACTTGAAATATCATATTCCTTCTCACAAAAAATCCTGGAGAGCTAGTTAGGGGTACCACAATACGATAAATTATACGTAATCTATGATACTGACCTCGCGATACGATACAAACGATACAATATAATGATACAGCATAAATTGAAGTAAAACTGAACTTTATTCTAATTTTTCAAATTTGTATAGCCAGAAGTACTTCAGCCAGATTACGTTTATTTCACATCACAACAAAGAAAGGTGTAAAATATGCTAACATCGATTAAAACATCTTAATGATGTGCGGTATTTGGGAACTATTGGGGCAAACAAAGGCGGCAAGCAAGATTCTGTCATCTCTAAGCTCTGAGTTTTTCCCTCCCTTTGGGTAAGTAAGAAGGGACTTTCTACGACTGATATTCATTTTATGTATCGCTACAGCTCGTACCGGAGGTGAATTGCTCGAGCTGCACTCGAGCGCTCGCGGTACCCCTAGCTCAGCTAGTGCACTGCATTGTAACTCCTTCAAACTTTTATTGTGGATTGTATTCGGCAGTTGGGTGTTCAGTGGTCGGTGTTTGTAACAAATAGCAGGTGGTGACATTTTGCATTGTTACTGTATTATTATCATATGTATATTATATTCATATGGTGTAATTTTTATACTTATGTCATATACTTTTTATTTTATAGGATGATCTAAACTTACCTGTAAAAGTCAAACATGGACATTTAGGTTAGTAAAGTTATGTTAACCACTATTAACAATCTATAACATATTAAAAGGTATCAGGAAACTGTTAATTTGAATTATTTGACAAAAATTAATTAAATAGTACAGTGTGAACAAAAAATTATATTTTTGTGAGACAGATGAAAAAACTTAGAGACAGTGCAACCAAATGCGATGAAACAATTTAAAGTAGAACCTGTATATAATGAACACCTGTGGAACCACAGAAAAGTGTTCACTGTACAGCTAGCTAGATTTTGGGAGTGGTGACTTGGGCAATGTCTTGAGACATCACCTGTAGTAAATGCGCATATGTCATGCAATCTGTATTAATGGTGAGAGGTCTCGTTCGGTCAGTGTAGCTAGGTGTACAGAGAAGATTTTATACAGGCGTCAATGTGAAATGGTCTTTAAGTGGTGTTCACTAAACACAAGTGTTCAATAGAGGGAACACTATACTAAGACTGGTTTTAATTATATAGATACTTATACCCAGGAAAATTACCAAACAAATAAATAAGCATGGATGTATTTAATTTTTTAGGTAAACTTACATTAAAGATACCCTGGAAGAACCTTTACACAGAACCTGTCGTAGCTGAATTAGAAGGACTATATCTCATTGCAACTGCCAGTGCTGGTAAGTGGTTGAATCAAGAAACCGTCTGCGCACGTTTATAAACTCACTTTCTCTTTTCAACTCAATATCTATCATTTCATGCAATAATCCTGCCATGTTTTATCGTCAAAACTCAAAATCTGTAGTCAGACTGGCAAAACAGACAAAACTCAACTCATTAAAGAGTTGGTTGATTTTGATTGTTTGGATCACCCAATAGTATAGATTGTATCACCAATTGTACAACTATTTGGCTAACACAAAGTTTGTTCCTCTTACCATCCTCTAATCTCAATTTTGTGTAATGTTTGAAATGTGTTTCTAGGTGTTCGTTATGATGCTGAGAAAGAAGAGAAGACAGCCCAAGAGAACAAACAGAAAGAACTTGAGAGAATTGAAGAGGCCAAGAAACAAGAAGCTGAAAAGGGTAGGTCATATAATAAATGTATGGAGTCTGATGCAAGCTCAAGTAAATACTCAAGGCCAACCTTACTATTTACCTACATGGATGTAGAGTTTTGCAAGGCGCTTAGACTGTATGGGAATAACAATAAATTCATGTCAACATTATTCTGAAATACTAAATAATGTTTAAAACTTTCTTACAAGTCTTTATATAGTATAACAAGAACTTATATGGTTCAGGCATTCATTGTTCCTTTTAATTACATTAGAAAGCAAAATGTGTGACATCGGAAGAGCACAATTTACACACCAAGTTCATACATTGAACCAGTAATTAAAAATTATAGACTGTTAATGTCAGATATATTCAGTCTCTGTTGAAAATACCCTGTTATATCTCATGTCTATGTATGATGTTGATAAATCATCGGATTCTTTGTACCAGACAAGAAAAAGGAAAAAGCCAAAGATGGATTTGCTGAAAAGATGGCAGCACAAGTTATAAAGAACTTACAAATCAAAGTCAGTGACATACATGTTCGATATGAAGATCGTTATACAAATCCAGACAAACCTTTCTCAATGGGCGTCACCCTGAAAAATTTATTCTTTGAGGCAAGTTTTTTTATTTCTTAGAGGCAAATTAATAGTAAAACATAACCTATTGTATACATATCTTTGGATATTCTTAGAAGAGGCATTTTTTCTAATTTATTTATTTAATGAGAATTGGCATGTAGACCATGTTTTTGAATGCAAAATTGAATGAAAAAGATTGAAGTTAATACTCTAAATTGTATAGAAATGCAAGAAAATCAGATACTTCATTCCAAAATTATGGAGAAATCTTATGGAATAGCATGGAAATAGGCACTAGCAGACGGCAAATAATTGTTATCATCATCTGTTATTTCTTTGTAGACCACAGATGAGAACTGGAAACCTTGCATTATAAAGGAAACTGTCAAGATGATATATAAAGTAAGAACCCTTGGGTCCATTTTAGCTCATACTTAGGATACTCAAGAAGCCATTGATCTTTTTAACTGAAAAACTCCAACAATTTTAGCAGAATTTATGTGTCCCTCATGGAAATGATTGTTTCCTGTTGTAAATATGCACTTAGTAAATATTATTTAACATCTTTTGAACTTAAATTGTGAATCTAATGTAATGTTTGAATTAGAAATATATCTATTTTTATTTCTATGCAAAAGTTAATTTATAATGAAGTCAATCATAGAATGCGCCTAGCAATCAACAAATAGTCACTTGTGAACTAAATGAATCAACCAATCATATGTTTGCAAATTTCAGCAAGTGCAGCTAGATTGTCTCTCTGTGTACTGGAACTCTAACAGCCCCATCTATACAGACATGGAAAAAGATGATATGATAGTAAGTGACACCTATTATCATTGACCTGAACCTCAAATCAAATCTCATGTTCTTATTACCACATTTCCTAAATGGTATCTTGATGCTGCAGTTGCACCTCTATCGAAACTGTGCCAAATATTTTATAATTATATATTTTTCTTCTCTGCAAATTCTACAAAAAGGTCAATAGGATCACCTTGATATAAAGAAAACTGAGAAATGTTGAAGTGAGATTTCTTTGTGCCGATGTATTGCACCAATGGTGCTTCGATGTTTGTCGTCTTCCTTTTCTATCTTCCTTGTTTATTTCTGACACAGTTTATCGAGGGACTTCAACAATCTCTAAAGAAGAATTTTCAGAAATCTTATATTAATGTACATACTTAATGATTTTATTTCTTGTAATTTTAGAATAGTATGAAATCAAACATTTCATCTCCAACCACTAAGACAGACTATAAATATTGTAAGTAATAGTTCATAGAATGTCTTTATATTCTGCATCTTCTATCTTAAAATTTATGTAGTTATTAATTTTCTGGTTCATACAATTTTGAATGTTGGCTAGTGTTTGTTTACCCTATTTTCTGGTTTATTTCATGCTCTATTTAGTAGACTTATTTTTGATTTTTACGCATTGACTTTTTGTGAACTTTACATTCAGAAGAATTGTCATTAAAAGCATAAGAAAATCAATCAGTTTTGTTAAGATTTTCTAGACATATATAAAATCTGTATGAAATACAAGTTCAATTACTGATGAACTGAAGTTATATTTATTTGTATTGTGAATATTATGAAGTTGTTTTTACATGGATGTTTTTTTTCTTCCAGTGATAGAGCCAATATCCTCTGTTGCTCAATTGCGTCTCAACCAGAAGCCAGAGGAGATGGAATACAGTCTTGCCAAATTATTCCTCAATGTGATATTCAAAGAAATTGCCATAGCTCTCAGTAGAAAACAGGTATGTCTTTGTGTGTTGTGTTGTACATGGAATTGGAAATACAAGTAGTGTATTTGACGTACTCCCATAAATGTAGGGTTCATTTTTCAAATCACCCCACAACTACTTGTGTATTGAAAAATATGTCAGTAGTTGACACAAGGTGAATTTTATCCAAATAACCACTTATCTAGCTTATTTTCCACTGCAAGAATTCAATACAGAAGTAGCTGTGGGAGTGATTTGAAAAATCAATCCCACATTCATGTGTGTGATTTGACATTGCAGCTATTTACTGTACATGTTAAAGTTTTCATTATCAATATCATTTGTACGAATTTCCATTTTTCGCTAAAAATCTGTAACTATTCCAATAAAGATGTTAATTCCATGTACTGTATGTTTCGTCTGCTGAATATGATCTGAATAGAAAGGTATTATGGGTAATGTATTTTCAAATGCATCTTGGGTAATATTTCAGTACCAGGATGTCATGGAAATGCTTGAGTCATTTGAAAGGGTTGCCCTAAGCAGCAGATTCCGGCAGCACATGAGACCAACTTGTAAAATACATATTAGTGCCAAAAATTGGTAAGTATATGAACTATTGGATTAATGAGAGAAAAAGGTTTATTCCTCCTTTGACTTCTAAGGGACCTGGTCAATATGAGTGGTGTGTCCACAGACATAATTAATAATGTTTGGGGATGGGGTAAAAGTATATTACATTTGCTGGTGCACATGAAAAATACTCTATTTAAAATAAATCAATAAATAGTTAAAGATGTCGAACATTAAATGTCCAATCAAATCTTGCCATTTTAGGTGGAAGTATGCATATAGATGCATCCTCGAAGAAACTGTACGTCGGAGACGTCGTATGTGGTCTTGGGAACATATAAAACACTACAGAGATGTCATGCGGCAATACAAGGAAGCATACAAGAAAAAGCTCAGCATGAAGAAAATCTCATCTGATATTCAGAAAGTTTTAGATGTAGGTCTTTTTGTGACAAAATGGAATAAAATAGTCGTTGATTGAAATGAACTCAATGTTTCATGGGATAAGCATTTGGAATGGAGATACTCATCCCTGGTGTAAAATACTCAACCTTATTGTATTACTCAGCAATTTTCAATGTACTGTATATATCTATAGCAATTACCATACGCTAAAGATTTCTGCAACATCCATTTTGCTAAGACTTCTGCAACATCAGTTGCGTTGTGAAAGTGGATCTTTTCCTTACTTTGATTTATCTGTTGAAGTATTATTGAATTGTGATAGGCAGAACATAAGACGTCTGCAACTCCTGTTGCATTATGGGATATTGTAATGCTTAACATATAATACGTACATTTTGCGAATCTGTTGAGGAATTATTGTAATAGGCAAAACATAAGACGTCAGCACTCTCCTGTTGCATTATGGGATAGATGCTTTAACATATAATGTATACATTTGTAGGATGGTGAGGCAGAATTAAGTGTGTTCAACATCACCTTGATGAGGCAACAGGCAGAAGTTGAGGTGAGTTTTTGAGATAATTTGTATGATTTAGGAAAAGTTTAGTTGTCATGTTTTGAAAAGCCAAATAAAGAGGAATAAAGAAAACATAAAGCGTATTTATTTTTGTGAATACTCTGAATTGTATAGAAATACAGTGTTCATTCATTGTATAACCCATTTTACAGTTGTAACATATTTTGACTCAATATGTTGTTTAAATGAGAAAACTGTATGTTTCTGATTTATAGCCAAGACTTAGATATAACAAAAAAGGAAAGGTAAAATCACCTATGAACTTGACATATTTTAAACTGTGTATCTTGTAGATGAACAATTTGATTGATTTCTGATCAATTGGTCAAGTTAACCATCAATCATACTCACTTGAAGGATCAGAAAATAGAAGATTTTTTCGAAACATAAAATACCACAAACAACGATCATGCGATCGGGAACATCAAACCTTACAATTCCCTCTTTTGATTTCTTTGAGGAATTACATGATTTCTGTTTTCTGATTCTTTCACTTATGGAGGGTTACTCTTTTAACATGTTGAATAAAAGGGAAATATTGTCCTTACACATATGATGACACACTCATAATCAGATAATCCAGAATAGAGGGAAAACACGTGGAATTAGCAAGAAATAAAGTAAAAGTCATTTAGGGATGATGTCCAATTAACAGTAGTTGGCAACAATTGTGAAAGATAAAAAAATAATTCTATTGGTGGAGAGAGCATGTAAACGAATATTCCATTTATGAAAAAATGTTGACTTTTTTTTTATTGAATTTTCAATCAACATTTCCAAACTTGGTTAAATGGGGGAGGGCTTACTATTTCAAAATTAATTTTGTTTTTCAACAACTATTGACAATTAGACACCGTCCCTAATACAAACTCGGATTCTTAGAATGAATGAATAATTCATATTTTTCTTTTAGTTGTCTTATTAATTGAAAAATGATATTTACCTGAACAACATGGCTACAAAATTTTAAAAATTATGCATTGATCTTCCTGGTTAGTCTTATTTAACAAATCTTTGTCCTGTTATCTATCAAACAGGGGAAAAAAGTGAGTAGGGGTGGGGCCTGGGGGTGGGGCCTCTTCAAGGTATCTCTCAATATCAGGCTTCACTGCTACCACAAAAGTGGTGCAAAATACCCTTAGACTGAGAATGGGGTCAGAGGGTTTCTATAAATGATATAAAATGCAATATTACTGACAAGTTTGTAGCCCTGTGTTTAGGAAATAAATACTATACAGTGTTATTGGTAGATTCATTTTGTTGTATATCAACTCTTATATGATACATGTACATAATATTAAGAAAGTAGAATTTATATCAATTTCAATTTATGTTATCATAAATCCTGATGTTGCCCGTCATAAAGACCCATCACTTATCAGTTTATACATGTATATGATTTTGTAAATAAATCATCAACACATTATATTTTGATCCATCTTTAGTTAAGATATATGATGATTTATTCGCTTGAGTACAGTGTAGATTTATAGTATGTGTTGTCTTAATCATAAGAATATCATGGTCATGGTGGTGATATTTTGAAATGCAAAATAGTGTCGATAAGAGCATGCAACTCGCAAGAAATAAAGCTAACCTGCCTGAGCACTTTAATTCACTGGATTTGAACCAATAAGTAGCAGATGTGTTTTGACGAGTATATTCATGAGAAGGCGGCACCGAAAAGCCATAAGACATCATCCACTATGTTAAATTGTATATGAGATATTATAGAATAAGCTTTAAACCACCATGACCATTGTCATACTCAGTAGATCACTTGTTTTACCATAGAAAATTCAGTAGATAACTTGTTATTCCATCGGATGAAGTATAGTTATGGTCTATACACTATATATACTATAGTATGAAAGAGTTCGGATAAGAATTTTTCAAGAGATTTTATATACAGGTATCACATTGATAAATAATACTCAGTACGTTCACTGCACAATACTCTTCTCTAAAACACCCTAATATATAGGAAATGGTTGAATAGACATACTAATAATGGGTAGATACAATAATAGGTATTGACAATATTGTAACAACTCAATTTTTCCTCTTTAAATTGCACAATTTTGACTCCTTGTGGCTTAGTAATACATAGTCAAATTTTAGATTCTTTATATTTTTTTCCCATAATGCAATAGATGTGGCAATTTATTGAAGATGGAATAATGGATTGTACCATATTGCAAGAGTAGAATTCACGTGGAACATATCCAATATAAATGCTATTGAATCATATTACATTACAGACATTACATTTTATATCATCCATAATTGTTACCCATAATTATTTTTTATGTCCCAATTAATACAATAGATTTGAATGATAAGTGACGGGCAATATGTTTTTACAACTGACTAGAATTAATTGTAGCTGCAGATGTTCCACATCATAGATCCCAAAAGGCAGTCTCCTCTTGCTGATATAACATTTTGACTGACACATATCCCATAATGCAATATATTTATAGCAGACATTCTATTGTGTTCCAGCTGAAGAAAGCCAAAATCAAGAAGGCCAAGGCTGATGAGGGAGGGGGATGGTTTGGTGGCTGGTTTGGTGGGGGCAAGAAGAAAGAAAAAGAAAAGAAGAAAGAAGGAATAGACATAGGTGAGGGTGAATCGATCAGATCAGAAACAAAAAGTGGTAGTCATAAATTATGTTTTGATATATGTAACAGCATTTGAGAAAAGTGGCCAATTCTTAACATTCAAAGGGCAGATGTGAAAAGCCACGCCACTCCAGGATTTGCAACCATGGATATTCAAGATATCAACTTTATGTGAAGAAGTACTAAAAACTGTTGAAAGCCTATAAATATTACTTGTAAATGCACATACATTTTCTGTTTGTATATTCAGAGGAGCAATTCCAAGAATTGATGACAGAAGAGGAAAAAGCCAAACTTTATTCTGCAATTGGATACCAAGAGAACACCACAGACCCAACATTGCCAAAAGATGTAAGTTAAGTGAAGTGTAGGGACATCTCCTTTAGGAGACAATGGGAGATGTGTTCATGTTGCTGCTTTATGGCGACCAAACAATAAATAGTTAGCACAGCAATTTGTGAAGCTAATAGCTGGCGTTTAAGAATATGTTTTGTTCTATGAAGATATAAAAATATCATGATATGTAATGAAAGAAAACTAAGAAAAAAAACTTGAAATTACTGAAAATGAAACACTTGCATGATGATATGATATTTTCTTGCAGTATGTTGCCCACAAATTGAATTTCAAGTTGAACAAACTCTCGCTCTGTCTGAAAGATGAAGAGAAAACGAACCCTCAGATAGTGAAATTACAACTGGACGATGTGTTCGCCTCTGTTGGACAGAGACCTGCGGCTAATGCCCTGCGTGTTCAAGCCAAAATGGACACCCTGAATATTTATGGGTCTCCAGCAGAGGGCTCTGTACGGACTTTATTGTCATCATTGAATCACGAAGCAGATGCGAAATATTCACTCCTTGATGTTCAGTTTGAGACAAATCCACTAGATGGCGCTTGTGATCAGAGGATTGGAGTTCATGCAAGACCAGTTGAGATTATATTTGATGCTGTAAGTGAAATACCAATACTGTCTCTTAAACAGGAAATTCTTTCACTTAGTTCATTTGTCAAAGTGAAATATTGTTTTTTTGAGAATTTCATTTAATATAGTACTATATCATAGTTTTCCTTGTGGTATGTGAAACTTGTAAAACCCAGTTTCCAAACAACTGAGACTTGACTAGATTTCTTTTACATGTCCACTCCATGTACACTCACATCTGATTATTTTAAAAACCATACCAACATTTTCATTTCAGACCACCATTAACCAAGTAGTTGAGTTCCTAAAACCGCCACAATCTGTCCACTTAAAGCAGCTACAAGCGGCAGCAATGTCTAAATTTGACGAAATCAAAGAACAGACCACGACTGGTCTAGCTCATGCAATTGACATTCACAAATACACAGATGTTAACATAGACCTTAAACCATCATATATTCTTATTCCGCAAGATGGTTACTATAGAAACAACTGCCATATGTTGGTCGTGGATCTCGGTAACTTCCAGTTCAAGAGTATGCGAGATCTACCGAGCCCAACAGGTCCCATTAAAAATGAGTCTATGGATGATGTCATGTCTCGTGCTTATGATAAGTTTAGCATTAAGTTACAGAGTGTCCAGGTACTCTTTGCACATCCAGGTTAGTGTTTTGATTTATACAGGGTGGTACATAATTATGGTTCTACATTGTAAATTGTAATATTTAGTTCCATATGTTGTATTAGAATCATGAAATTATACTTAGAGCACATTTAGATTTTCAATGTTTAGAGAGCCTATAAAATATAAGGTGTAATTCATTATTAAAGTGAAAATGTAAGACGTCAAAAACAATCATAGATTTTGATAATGTTTGAATGTGCAGTTGACACCATGAACTCACTCTGAAGAAAAAGCATGATGAAGGTGTTCCCACAATGCACTTTGTTTCCTTTTAGGAGAGAACTGGATGGCGGCCCGCCAACAGAATAACTCCAACATGCACATTGTCCGCCCTATATCACTTAATGTCTCCCTACACAAGTGTATGATAGAGAATGACACACGGATGCCAAAGTAAGGTTCTATGTCCCATAATGCAATAGCTGCTGCAGACGTTATTTGTATAAGTATAGATTTTCTTATGTTAGAAGGTTCAGAAAGTACAATGGTAAAGAAAGTTTTTGTTGCAATTTAATAATTGTTAGAAAATAGATGTCAAATATTTTGTCCCATAATGCAATAGATGTTGCAGACATTGCAGTCCTCACATTTGTTCTACTGTGGATTGTTTCCAAAGTGTTTCCCTGGCAACAGTCATAGACAATTGATTAATAAGTCATCGATTTAGAATGTATACCTAATCCTTCTGAAAGACAGACCATGAAATGTACTAAAGATGAAGTATGCATTTTTAGAACCTTGTTTAGTTACCATGAAACCTGAATTTTAGGATGAAAATTGCTGGAGAATTGCCAGTTCTCAGTCTAAATGTGTCTGATGTCCGTCTGCAAGAACTCTTGGACCTTGCACTCAGTATTCCTACGCCAGAATCTAGTTCAGATGATGATGATGAATGGGCTGTAAGTAGTCCCGGTGTAAAATCTAATGTAATTTTGTTATTTGAAAAAATATTCAAAAATTATACTCAAAAAGTATAGAGCTTTTTAGATTGGGTTAACATCTTAGCACCCACATTTACCAAATAAAAATAGTTCTGTCTTATCAATCAGATATTGAGATAGACTTTACCATGTACCCTTTGTGTACATTATAGGCCCCAGATATCACTAATCTTGCAGTCGAGGCAGAGGCTAAGTCACTTTTGAAGAAAATACAAGTTGAAGAGTCTTCTGATGAGGAACAACAGGTATGTACTGACTTTTTTTTTTTTAATCACTTATTGGATTTAATGTTAAACTATTACAATGTTATATTCCCCTGTTGGTTATTTCATTAAATATAAGTGCATAATGTACTTGTTATAAATGTTCATGTTCAATGTAGTGTAGAGTAGAAATATCCATTGTAAAAATGAGTTTTATGAACAAAATTGAATATACTAACTAGTTATTTCTGTGTAGTAAAGATTGTTTGCACTCCTTTTCCTTGTTACTATGTTAGTTGCGATGTTAGTTGTTAGATCAATGACGTATCCTAGATTAGTAGACGTAATTGAGAAACGAGAATAGAGAGAAAGTAAACAGCACTCATCAACACTTAAAATTGTATAGAAATCCCTTAAGATATGAGAGTTCATTCAAATTTGAGAGAGAAATTAAAAGGTGTGGTGAAAAGAGCAGACGGACATGTAATAAGCAGACGGATGTTCTAGGCATGTGACTCATGTTGCTAGGTGCATGTTGTATGTTGTTCCTTCCTGTTTAGGCTGCTATTAAGGCGCCATCTGGCAGTGGAGATGGAGCTGATGATGAAGATAATTTTATGGATGCTAAAGAGGTAATTTTGATGCAGTTTTATATCATCCTCTGAACATCCAAAGCACTACTTCATATCCATAGCAATTCACATGGCCAGTTTGTCTTGAACTTTCCAAAAGGTCCTTGTTAAGATCTATAGATAAAGAGGAAGCCTGGTAAATCAGAACGTTTTAAACCATTCTGGGGACATTGCAGGCCTGTAGCCAGCTTTTGCCAAGGGGGTTTCACTTTTCAGAAAAATTCCAAAGGGCCTTCACTTTGACAAATTTGGCCCAAAATCACTTGAAAAGTGCTCAGAATTTTGAAAAACTGCATGATTTTGAAAGAATTTTTGGCCAGAGGGCTTCAGCCGAACTTTCCTGATGAAATATTTGAATCCTTTGATCACCCATCTGACCCCTTCTCTCTGTGGTGTATTGGTAAGGGGGTATGTGAGATCATTGGAAATACAGTTCAGAGGATGATTTGGAGTGAAATACTATATCATAAATAGAAGCGACGCTTGGGTTGAAAGGTGTGCGAGTGGCACAAATATATATACACTGTACATGGCTTCAGGTGTTTTCCATACTCAAAGAATGTTGTATATTCACAACTGGCTAGCAGTTCATCATGGGGGAGTGAAAGCTATTTTCTTTTATTTCTTACATTTTCTTTGATCCTAATCTGGAATATTATGTGGTACTTTTGCATGTTTATCATATTCTTTTGGACAGGTGTGGGTGTGGAATTTCTTTTCTGTTTTTTGACACTTTAGATGTTCTACAGAACAATATGTGTAATGGTTGAGGCTTTTCAAATTCTAGCATGGCAATGTTGTTTGTGGGACAATGATGTGTGCTAGAGGTGTATTCTGTTCAGTACAAAATATTATTTTTTTAGAAAAAGTATTTGTTTAAGGACTGATTGTGGCTGGTTAATTGAACTGCTTTATTGGAAGAAAAACTATTCATTCTCGTGTTTGGAAGCATGCATATATATTTCTAGGAAATGGTTTAAATGAGGCAAGAGGTCTTGTATATTGAAATAACAGGTGTTCCATTGATATATGGATAAGTGACAATTTTGCTGAGAAATTAGAAAACAATATGGATATAACCCTTTTTCACTATCTGATAGAAAAAATAGATTTGCTATATTACGTTGTCATTCTAAATGTCAATCATGGCTTCTATTCAAACCCCTTGATTATATCGTGAGTTTGGTTGCGTTTTATTCAGTTCAAGGAGGGACCTCACTTTCATATGTTTGTGTCACCTTGCATGTGTTATACTACCACAAGTAAACCCATGGTACAATATACAATTGTTGACCTCTCCAGAGGTTTTGTTAGTCCGAAGAAACTAATAATACACATATAGGCGACAATCATCAATCGACATGGCTTCATGTCACAATCTTTTCTCTCTATATTCGGCACATCACGGCGTCTATTTGTAATTTTGCTATACTTATCGTCTAGTAAAGTCAAAAATATCACTTTTATCAACGTTTACAAGTGTAGTACAGTAACATACGCGGTCAATAATATGATATCCCATGATGCACAGGTGGGGTACAGGCAAAAATGTTGACCGCTAATTGACCAATCAGATACGAGTATTTACACTGAGGTACTAACAATGAGGTTTGGGGGCACCCATGACAATGGTAAATTAATGTACATTACATGCTTACTATATGCTTAAAATATGTTCAACGGTATATGAAATGACAGCTTTGCTTTGATGCATGTATTCGTATAACTTAAATAAGCTCAAGGGGCCAGGTCATTAAATCAACATCTTTTAAAAAAACTTAAAAATTAATCTTGATTTGCATGTGTCATGTCAAGCTAAAGCAAACTGCACTGACACCTCATGCACTGAAATTCAATCCCTTAAAGTTTACTGCACTGTACGAATATTTGTGCACTGAATTTTGGATATTGGAATACTTGAAATGAGATTTGTTGTCACAAAATTAAATTGCCATTATGGCCTTCACCCTAAAACATACACAATTGTTTTTTGATGGAAGTTGATATTTTGACACAACCCCCTGATGCTTTGCATGGATAATTTTTTAGTAATTTTAAATACACTGCAGGACAGTTCACAGTTCCAAGAACTCGATAGCATAGTGGATGCAATGGCCATCTCAATTTGAGTTCTTTGGAAAATGTTTCACTCCAACTTAGTAATTATACATGAATAGTATTTAATATTTATTGACTATATGTATTTTATATATAATTAAAAGATGGTATGTATTTTTTTGATATTGTAACATACATATAACAGAATATGGTTTTGTTTTCAGAGTTTGGAAGCATCACGACGGCTATCCCAGCAATCATCACAGGATATTGTGCAATATACTGACCTTGAACTTACCTTTGAAATAAAAGAGGTGAGTCAGATGCATTTGCAATATTACTATCCCACCAAACGTAGTTTGAGCAGGATATAGAGAAGTCATCAGGCTTGTGACTGGGCATTGGTGGGTTTAACGTTTTAGTCCATGGAAACACTCCCCTTCCCTGCATGGTTTTGATTATTAAGACATAACTGGGTCCCTGAACACATGAGTGTACGGTGTATTTTTATAACATTTATTTTTTTATTTTTTGCCATTATTTTTTATTTATTTAGACAGTTTACTCAGTATTTTAAATTATTTAAAATTTCTATATGTTTATTTATTTTCTTCAATAAATTAAGAAATGGAAAGTCTGTTTTGGTATTAATGGACCATTTTAATTTTAAAAAGTGTGTAAACCGGAAAAAATTGTTGCATAGTTTACGGTCATCTTTGGATCACTTACCATAATACTCCGAAATCAGCAACATCACAAAATCTACCTGCTTTTATAAATGATGTGGATTTAAAACTTATCAAATATGACTACAGTATTAAAATGGGTGAAAACCTGTAATTGATATAATCCTGGATTTAAAACTGACGAAATATGACTACAATATTAACATAGGTGAAAACCTCCAATTGATATAATCCTGGATTTAAAACTGACCAAATATTACTTTGATATTAAAATGGGTGAAAACCTGTAATTGATATAATCCTGGATTTAAAATTGACTAAATATGACTTTAATATTGATTTGGGTGAAAACCTGTAATTGATATAATCCTGGATTTAAAACTGACCAAATATGACTTTAATATTAATATGGGTGAGAACCTGTAATTGATATAATCCTGGATTTAAAACTGACCAAATATGACTACAGTATTAAAATGGGTGAAAACCTGTAATTGATATAATCCTGGATTTAAAACTGACCAAATATGACTACAATATTAAAATGGCTGAAAACCTGTAATTGATATAATCCTGGATTTAAAACTTATCAAATATGACTACAATATTAAAATGGGTGAAAACCTGTAATAGATAAAATGCTGGATTTAAAACTGACCAAATATTACTTTAATATTAATATGGGTGAAAACCTGTAATTGATATAATCCTGGATTTAAAATTGACTAAATATGACTTTAATATTGATTTGGGTGAAAACCTGTAATTGATATAATCCGTGATTTAAAACTGACCAAATATGACTTTAATATTAATATGGGTGAAAACCTGTAATTGATATAATCCTGGATTTAAAACTGACCAAATATGACTACAATATTAAAATGGGTGAAAACCTGTAATTGAAATAATCCTGGATTTAAAACTGACCAAATATTACTTTAATATTAATATGGGTGAAAACCTGTAATTGATATAATCCTGGATTCAAACCTGACCAAATATGACTTTAATATTGATTTGGGTGAAAACCTGTAATTGATATTTTACTGGATATAACAATGAAAATAAAAATCAATCTATAATCTACCTACATGGTGTAGATTTCCAAATATTAGTCTAAATTGATCTCTGTGTAAAGATTGTATGGTTCTGTTACAAAACATGTAAGGCAGTATATACTGTATAATTATGAATTACAAGAAGTTCATCCAGGTGCTCACTCAAATACTGGTTGACAGATTTGATTCAAATATTAAAGGCTTATGCCATATGGGTGTAGGGCATCAGCATATAACTGATATTTGAGTTATCAAAGATTACATTTTTTACAAATATGGTGGCCCTTTTGAATTGAAAGGCAATCTTGAAAATTGAGGTAAATATATTTATTTATTCTTTAAGTACATTCACACCCCTTGGGGTCAAGTACATGTACAAAAATTATAACAATTATAAAGGAAGGAAAAAAAGACATTTACATGTAAAGAACTACATAACTACATGTATTAATATTACTATTAATGATGATGATGCATTGGTGCACTAGAGATATAGCTATTGTAACTGGATGTAAATATATATTTTGCTATATTTATACAGTTTTGATCTTTACCAGACATCAAATAAATAAATGGATTTTCTTGTACTGGCATTTTCATTTTAGACAACATTATACTTCTTTGTTTATTATATTTCGTACAGTGAAGGAGATAGTGTTCTTCATTTTCTATAATATATATATTAACAGCAGGACTTTAATAATTAAGTAATGGTCCATAAAAGCGATTTGGCGTGTCCAAGTCTGTGTTACAGATATAATGAATGGCAGCACCAACAAATTCTTCCTCTGATATTTTTCCATCTCCATCTGTATCCATGTAATCGAACTGCATCTTTGCAAAGCGTAGATCAAGGCCATAAACACGCCAGAAAACCAAGTATTCATCAAATGTTATGAAACCAGAGGAGTTCAAATCAAATACCTAAAGACAATACAAAGCCAATTCATCATGCTTTTGATTTATAGGAGGGTTGATCAAAATAGTCTACACTTGTACTGTTTGCTAGAGATGTCACAAAACAACAAAAAAATCAGAATGGTTCGTTCGGAATATTTTGCTTCGGAACGGAACATTTTCGAAACAGTTCGGAACAGAGTGACTGCTCGTGTTAGATTAAAATAAGTTGATTGTCTAGGTCTATTTGGTGACGAAAAGCTCTTCAAAAACTCTTCAATGAGATGGAGTGAAAAGAATGAACTTCTTTTTGGTGCAAAATAATGAACCTATCTCTGACCTATATTTTGCTGTTTTGTGGCGATCTACAGGCCACAAGCTTTGAAAGGGTAAGATTTTCTCGTTCGGGAACCGAACAGAAATGTTCCATTTTGAGAGCGTGATTCCGAGGGTTGGTATTCAATCTGGTATTCATGACACCTCTCCTGTTTGCCTTAAAAATCTTTCCATATAGAAAAATGTTTTGAACTGGTCAATATTACTTATTTAAAAATGTAGTTCTCATTCTTTTCAGTATGCTGCCATCTTTTAAAATTTCACACAGGAAATTGTTTTTGGGCATTCTGGGTATATGCTAAGGTTCCCATTTTAGATTTTCCATCCCAAAATCTTGGAAAGTTTTTTGTATGCGTTTCCAGCGAAACAGTCCAAGGATCGATCAATTTCAGGGATAATTCTTTGAATGAAAAATCTCAAACTGAAATTGTTTTTGGGCATTCTGGGTAAATGATAAGACAGTCATGTTTTGTCCTAAGATCTTGTATCTTGAACTGATTAATGTTAGGCATTCGGGATAAAAGTGTTGTTCATGTTTATTTCCTTGTTAGCTCACATGGTGAGCTTTTGCAATCACTCACTTGTCCGTCTGTCTGTCCGTCTGTCCGTCCGTCAACAATAGTGGCACGTTTTAAAACCTCTGTCGATAGGATTCCTGTTTCAAGTTATTTCTGTTCAACATCAATATAGAAAACCCCCCTATGACTCCTGGTTCAAAAGCTCGCCTATTTTCAAAATGGCCGCCACTTTTGTCTCACGAAATTCACTTTTGACCCATTTCCTAGCTTTACAAATAATTTCAGGTGTCCTACATTGTAAAAATCCATGTCAATGTAAATATATGAAATAGTTTTGTCACAAAAAATCAGCGAAAAATTATATCCATTTTTTTATTTTCAGCCATTTTAGTTAACATTGATTTGTCTATCTGACTCGCGAAATCCACTTTCCGTCAATAACAGTGGCACGTTTTAAAACCTCTGTCGATAGGATTCCTGTTTTTGTTACAAAAAATTATATCAGTTTTTTTTTCAGCCATTTTACTTAACATCGATTTGTCCATCTGTCTCTCAGTCAGTCCAAAATAGTGGCTTAAAATAATTTTGTTACAAAAAATCAGCAAAAAATTATATCCGTTTTTTTTTTCTGTCACCATGTGAGTCCAGTTCCCATGGTACTAATTTTTTTACATGAATTGAAACCACTAGATAGGGGATGATTGAGGCCAAATATAAGCAATATTCAATGAGAAATTTATTATTCAAAAAAAGTTCACCTTGAACATTCTGGAGTAATTATCCTGCCATATTTCAATTACAGCTGGATTTTCTCGACCTTTCCACAATGCAAACATTTGCTGTGTAATGCTTGTTGCAGCAACCATTTCTGATCTAGGTCCTGCCTTTGAAGCTGATCCATATGATTGGTAAAACTCAATGACATCATCTGCAGCTTTTCCCTCAAGTTTCCCTAACAATTAAAACAGACATGAAAAGTTGACAGGAAATGGTGCAAGCATAGCTGATACAAATTATTGAAGCAAAATTTGCCAGACTGTATTTGGTTTTGATTATCCCATCGAACAAAGTTTGGAGGGATATAGGGAACGCCTCCGTCCGTCCGTCCGTACGTCCGTCCGTACGTACGTCCGTCCGGGCAATAACTCAAATACCGTTGGCCCGATTTTGTTCATATTTTGTACACATATACCCTATGGGGGTAGAAGTTCTGCTCGAAAGCCGATTTTCAAAATGGCCGCTCTTTTCAAAATACCGGCCATTTTAGTGCCGATTTTACAGTAATTTAGGTGCAATATGTAATAGCGATATGTTTTAAATGTAAAAAAATTATAAAGGACATTAATAAAGCTACAAATGTAGATATTGAAAAAGCACATGGCAGCCATCTTGAAAAATAGCGGCCTTTACTCGTTATTTTACGATTTTTGCTGTAACTTGAAAAGTAGTGGAGCGATTTTGTTCATATTTGGTATGTGAATACTATAAACATTGCACACTGTCTAAAGACACTTTTGGTAGAAAGCGGCCATTTTGAAAAATGGCCGCCATTTTAACGTTTTTTACTATAACTCGAAAAGTAGTGGAGCGATTTTGTTCATATTTGGTATGTGAATACTATAAGCATGGCACACTGTCCTATAACACTTTTGGTAGAAGGCGGCCATTTTGAAAAAAAATTTGAAAAATGGCTGCCATTTTAACATATTTTACTATAACTCGAAAAATAGTAACGCGATTTTGTTCATATTTGGTATGTGAATACTATAAGCATGGCACACTGTCTAAAGACACTTTTGGTAGAAGGTGGCCATTT